CTCCCAACAATCATTATTATATGCCCATGCGTATATTTAATCATAGATCGTAGTTAACTTTGTCCAATACTTTTACCACTTTAATCAAGTATTTGTATGGGTTTTTTAAAGTACAAATTAATATGTTCCAACTATCTAATATGCTTCTTGTTTAGGAGTGTTAGTGTATCAAAAAAAATTAAATATGAATTCATATGATCAACTGTCTACTATACTACTTGTTTAGGCATATAAATATATAAAAGTTATTTTCAACAATAGAAATTAAATCATGTATATTCTAAAAATATATTGACTGAAACACATATATTATTTACTTGTAGTAATTGAATCAAATATTATAAATAATCTTTTTCAGGCATAAGGCAAAATGGAAAAAGAAAATTCCAACAAAAGTAAATAAAACACAAAAATGGAGGAGAGGGGGGGAACCTTTAAAAAAACTAATAAATCATTTCGAAATACATATCCATGTTCGTCAAACTTTTTCCTTGGTTATGAGTACTTTTCGAGGTACTTATTTCAATCTTTTGCCATCATCGTGCCACACTTCTCTAATAAAACCAAAACACATAGATAATTATGCACTTAAAGTAAATATGTTTGACTATTGATATCTCAAATAAAGTATATAATTTACTTTGAGACTCTAGAGCATGAGTAATTTTGTTTTAGTCTATCTGGCTCATTTAGAGCAAGATTGATGCATAACTATTTTTAAGCTCAACCCATTAAAATTTAATAATAACAGTGAAAAAATATACCAAAATGAGGCGCTCGTGATTGTTTAAAAATAAAATTACCCATACTTATAAATATTTACCAATGACATACAATAGAAATAATCCTTAACATGAAAAATGTAATGCATGTTTAAAAAATAATGCCTCCTCTATAGAAAATAAAAGGTATGTCAGTAGTACCAAATTTTTCCTTATAAGGTCGAAGCTTAAAATGCAAGAAAAAAATGATGAGTTAACAGTTCTAAACAAAGGGAAAAAATCATGTAGATTTTTTTTTTTCATTGATGAACTTTTTATAATTAACGACCACGCTTCTCATTGTTAATAAAAAATCAGATGGAAAGTCGTCCACAAGCATCCACACTGGAATAAATTAACGAACCTTCAGTTGTTACATGCAAAATTAAGAAATCAAGCAAAATTCTAATAATCACTCTAAATACTGAGTTAATAATATTAAAAGTATAACTTTCGATGTCAATCAAAATCCATCACACTTCTTTTTTTTACCAACAAATGAAAACATCCATCTAAAATTACAATCCAACAGAGAGAGAGGTCAGTGTATACCTTTCAGACAAAAAAAAAAATTCAGATGGAAGGGGAGGAGGGAAGTGGAAGAGATAGAGGACGGAAGGGAAGGAAAGGAGAAGAGAGAATTAGAACGTAACATCTTTATTATTTTTTTAGCGACTAATCTTTTTAACTTTTGAAAAATATGTCATATGGAATTATGTGAAAAATAATATTAACTTACGTTTAACGTATCCATATCTGGTTTTAAATTGTATTCTAAGCAAAATTATTTGGTACTGATCTCTTTTTATTTTTGGTAATCCAAATCTTTTTGTTTTTGAAAAATACATAAAATGTAATCATTTAAAAAAATAATAATAATAACCTATATTTAATGTGTTCGAACATAATTTCAAATTGTATTCATAACATAATAATTTGAAAACTAAATTTCTTTTATTTTTGATAACTAATCTTTTTCTTTTTTTGAAAAATATATCAAATGAAATCATCTGAGAAATAATATTAACCTACATTTAATGTATCTAGATTTGGTTCGAATTGTATTCATAATATAATATTTGGTAAGTAATCTCTTTTTACTTTTGAAAAATATCTCAAATGGAATCATGAAAAATAATGTTACTCTACGTTTAATGTGTATGGACTTGGTTCCAATTGTATAGATCCGTAGTATAATTATTTGCTAACTAATCTCTTTTTATTTTTCGTAACTAAACTCTTTTTATTTTCAAAAAATATATCAGATGGAATTATTTAAAAAATAATATTAGCATATGTTTAATGCATCAAGACTTGATTTTGAATTGTATTCGTAATATAATGATTTAGTAACTGATCTTTATATTTTTGGTAACTAATTTTTTTAGAAAATATATCAAATGGAATCATCTAAAATAATACTAACATACATTTAATGTATCTAGATTTAGTTTTGAATTGTATTCATAATATAATGATTCGGCAACTAATCTCTTTATTTTTGGTAATTAATTAATGTTTATTTATTTTTGGAAATGTATCAAATAAAATCATTTGAGAAATTATATTAATCTACCTTTAGTGTGTCCAGACTTGGTATTAAATTGTATTCACAATATAATTATTTGGTTACTAATCTCCTATTATTTTTTTAAATTAATCTCTTTTTATTTTTAAAAAATATGTTAAATGGAATCATCTGTAAAATAATATTAACCTATGTTGCATGTATATAGACTTGATTACAAATTGTATTTGTAGTATAATTATTTAGTAATATATTTTTATTTTTAAAAAATATATCAAATGGAATAATCTGAAAATCAATATGAACCTACGTTTAATTTATCCAGACGTGGTTTTGAATTTTATTCATAGTATAATTATTTTGGTAACTAATATATCTTTATTTTTTGAAAAGATATCAAATAGAATCATTAAAAAAATATTATTAACCTATGTTTAATGTAATCAAATTTAGTTTCGAATTGTATTCTTTAATTATTTAGTAAATAATCTATTTGTTTTGGTAAATAGTCTTTTTTATTTATGGAAAATATACCAATTTTCTAAGAAATAATATTAACATAAGTTTAATGTAGGCAGACTTGGTTTCACATTGTATTCGTAATATACTTATTGGTAATAATTTTTTTGGTAATTAATATCTTTTAATTTTTGGAAAATATCTCAAACAAAATCATCTGAAAAAAAATATTAACTTATGTTTAATGTATCTAGACTTAGTTTCAAACTATATTCTTAATACAATTATTAATTTAATAATTAATATTTTATTATATTATATATTTGTCAATAATTACCAAACACGTGATATTTACTTTTTCGAATTAACTTTTGGTTAATTATTTAATTCAATTTAACAATTAGTAATAAAATTTTAACTGTTTAATGAATGAGAATTTTAGCGACGACACGTAACATAATTGGCTAAATTTACTCCCTAGACGACACATGTCGATTAAGAACTCTGCTTTAATATACATAATAATAGACACCTTTGTACTCTAATACAGATAGTCAATACAATCTAATTATTTGAGTTGGTAACTATTTTTTAGTGAGTTTTAGAACATTACTACTTTGGCGAGTTTTAGAGCCGCCTTCATCCAATGGTAGTTGGGTGTTCCTGGCCTCATGGTAACTACTTTTAATAGTTGTAAGCTCCAAAGTTCGCTTCGTTTACCAATAATTACCATATCATTTTGTCATGAGGTTGTGTCATTTGAATGATTAGTTGTACATATTAATTGATTATTATTGCATGATCAATTTAGGCATGAGCTTTGTTATATTCAGTATTCATGCAAACTTCCAAGAAAATATTCCTTCTCAATTGCTAACACATACTCTTTCTATTTCAAAAAAAAAAATCATATTAATTTTTGATATTTGTACTAAAAAAATTAATTTTTTAAATTTTGTATTGTTTTTAGTGCAAGTTCAATGTACACTATTTTTATAGGACAGAGGAAATACCAAAGTCTCCACTTACTGTGTTAAATGATTAGTGGCGGCAGTTAGCGATCCAACTATGATAATTAGTGATCCGGTAGTGGTACAATATAATATTTACTTCATATATATATATATATATATATATATATATATTTGTGTGTGTATGTGTGTTTTTAGATTTGGATTGTGATCAAATATGTTTTTGAGTTAAAATTTTAAAATTATATATATTTTTAAAAATTTAAAACAAAAACGTTGTATTGATAAGACAGTGTCAAAGTCTTTGATCGTGCAATAGAATTCTTTGTTTTTCCGATCAATTGTTAAAATCTCTTTAGAACTTAAAAATAAATAAAAGACACTTGTCTCACATTAAAAATGGGAGCCCAACTTGATCAACATATATACCACGTATATATATGGGCTTTCAATTGGTTTTAAGGTAAAACCACATATAAATTTATAGTCTTTCAAGATTGTATTAAAGTGGGTTTTATCCGCGGATTTTATGGGTGGACTTTGACCAATCTGACGGTTTCTCCGGTTTGATTGAACCGTCAATATATTCGAGGACTTTGATTTACCCGTATTGGGTTTGATATACTGGACTTTATTGTTGAAAAAATGGGAACCCAACTTGATGAACATACATACCCTATATACTACTCCCTTCATAACCAATTGATTTTGATGTGAAATCTCATATTCGCTTATATGGATCTTCAAGAATAGACTCATTTATTTCATTATTTGTATAATTTTATTACTCGCCAACGTTAGTGAAATTGGGATTTGATATTGAACCTATTCTAAGGATTCTCAAGAGGAAATCGGAAATTTACAAGCTTAGTAACCCATTGCTGGAGTAGGATTGACAGGAGTTTGGAACATTGTATTTTTTTTCCATCAATGATGTTGGTTCTGGAGTGCTATCCTTCACTGGAGGATGGGAAGCCGCTTTAGTCCTAATGATCATGTCCTCACCTTCGATTTACATGCTGAAACATTTGGAAGAATAGGATGTCCGAATGACTACTACTTTACCCTAATTTGCTACTTGCTGTCTTGCGGTGGCGATTCGCTTGCATTTGTTTCCATGGAAGAAACTGCGACTGGTGGTTATGCATTTCGTGTGTGTGTGTGTGTGTGTATGTGATGGACGAATATTATTATGGCAACCAAGAGTCTTTGGACATAGAAATATTGTACCGTTGAACAATTTTCCGGATTTTACTGCGGAGCATTTTGGCTTCAGTTGGCTAGTTGGAACGGTGACGAGATTGTACTAGTTAATCTTGATGAACAAGAACAGTTGGTCTCTTACAAAGTCTTCCAGAAGAATGATTTTACTACTACAGAAGAAGAAACAATGTGAGGCAGTTGACATTGGTCGCGATTCTCAAATCTCACAACAGTAGAACCGTCAAATTTAAACCGAGTTCGAAATCTATGTATCAGCAGAAGAACAAATTTTTTTCAATGATGTATAGGCACGTAATGTTTTAGTACACTAACGCTCCATGTAACACTACTACAAATTTGACCTGTTAACTTTTAACTTCAAGGAGGAAATTGGCTGCAGGAGAAGTATCAGTCAGACTAAATAGATGCTATCCAAAACTGCGAAACCGGCTGCAACACCACCTTCATTTGATGATGATACTTTTGTGCGCATCAAATATCCTGGACTGTTATTTACGACGATTTTCTCCTTGATCCTGTGTGTGAAGGATAGCATTAATTATGTGATTAACTGCTAGAAAACTAATAACAAGTGACATTTGATACGACTATTCTACACAGAAATTACCTTAAATAAGCGCCATAGACCCCAAGTTCTGATACAGTTTGCTCTCTATGAGATGCCCCCTCACGCATCAAAATGGCCGGAGATTGTGCTGGAAAAATTCTCTGCATGAGTATGTAGGCTGCATCTTCTTCGTTACCTGCCTGCTGCAGCCTCAGGAGGGACTCTTTCACATCATCACCATAAATATTGTTGCCTAAATGTAATAAGAAACCCTGATTACTAAATCACAGTACTAAATATAAGGTTATTCCTTTTTTCTCTTTGCGAAAGCAAATGATAGTCCCAGAATGATTGTCCAGTTCGGATTAACTTTTAGTATGAATACTAAAAGTTAAATCCGAACTGGACAATCATCTCGGGACAAAGGGTGTATATGCTAGACTTATTTAGATGAAGTTAAAATACAAGACCTCCTCCTTCTCTTTGTGGTTTCATCACATACAAGCCAGGTCTCTCAATTGCATCATTAACAATGTGAGACTCATCTAAACTCCACAATCCCGCAAAGCATTTTCTTAGTTTAGTAATGTCATCTTTGTTCTCAACAAACCTGTGCCGAAATTAAAAAATAAAAAATAAATAAAAACTTAAATTGGAGAACATTTTTGGCTGTGGAAGAAGTATAATTTCCCACGTAACATTGCACACAAGTAGAAAGTAGCATGAGTGTCATGACTTCCACCTAGAAAGTGTAGTTTTACCTCTCGAGAACACCTGGTTTTGCAAGTTCTTGTTGAATTTTCTTAGTTCCTGCCAAGTGATAAGAAATAGAAGGGGACTTGACGGCCGAAGATTGCTCCATCAACAACCTAGCTTTCCATTCCTAATATAGAAAAAGAACACGAAAGGCTAATAAACGAAAAGCCAAAATGAGAAAGACAGATGCATAAAAATAAAATTTAACCAGGTAACAATATTTTTAAGCTGCAACTTCATCAGGCAAGTAACATAAGACCTAGAAACAAAGCCAAGATAATAATGAAACAATATTGAGCCAGATATGTACAAGAAAAGAAATCATGGATGGCAAGATTTTTGCATTTGAATTGTACCTTTATACTTTAAATACTTTAAGTAACAGTGAAGGATAAAAGGAAAAATATTTAGTCTTGACAAAATCACTGAAACATTCACCAACAAAACCATGTTTCCGATAGCCTTGAGATATCATCACAGATTTAATAACAGATGAACTTAAATGGTTGCTACTGACTTCTGTAGTAAGCAGAAGAAATGGATTGAAAGACTCACTAACTCTGAAGGGTAGTCGGTTGGGGCATAACCAGCTCTGAAATAAATGACTGCAACGGCTTCACCACCCCTACAATGTCAAAGAATGGTAATTTTTGAAACCATGTACATGATAATTTCAAAAAAAAAAAAAAAAAAACAAAGGTGCTTCTTCCATGACATACGTACACTAAAAGTGTTCCATCAGCCTGGAGTTCACCTACTGCATCAACTTCAGCTAATGTCTTCCGAATTGTTGTTATTTGATATGTGGTATTCAAGTTATGGAGTTATACTGAATGCTCATTAATCAAATGGAAGATAAGAGAAGACACTCCAAGTGGTAATAATATGATGAAAAGGCAATTTCAGATTATTAGACCAGATAAAAGGATCAACTTTCAGATACTATGATGGAATATAACCAAAAAGAAAAAGGATATTGTTCTTTCAGCACCATACCGAGCCAGTGTTGGTCATACATATTCCGTTCTTCTGGCTGAACCACAAACAAAATTACAGCCCTGCAAATATTGCTGAAGTTAGCATATAGGCGAACATAACAATGTCAGTTTAAGAACTGAAACATTCTATAGATTCAATTAGTAGCTGATTGCCAGATTGTAGAACATATCTTAAATTAGTAATGTCAATTAAAAACTGACATATATTACTAGAATTGAGTCAGACCTTGGGTTATCATATTCTTTCCATGCTTTAGCCAGTGCGTCAGCAAATCCATTCACTGCATTGTTTATGGGTATTCTTTCAGGATCTAATAACAAGTGCTCTTTATATTGATGAAGCAACATCCTGAACAGAAAAGGAAAAATAAAGAACTCAATTGGAGTCCTGACTGTAAATTCATGATCCCCCCGACCCTCCCCTATGGTCTTTTTTTCAGATAACAACTGAAACTATGAAATTGGTAGCATCAGATCAGACATGACCATTTGTTAAGACTCTTCTGCAAAAGATTCTGCGAGAAGGACCTCATGAATTATTGTCTAAGCCATGCAAGAAAAGGAAAGAGTCCCATATTGATCGAACATTCCTACATCTAACCAGCAAGTATTACAAAAAAACAAAAAGGATAACAAGAAAGGACCTGTTGTATCATGTATGCGGTGTGCTATAGAACACAATTAAAAGTTTCCTTCAGGTAAGCATAAAAACATTAGAAACATTTTACAATTTTCTGCAGTAAAAGTACCTCAACTCATAGGAAATTTGGAGGGAAAAAAAAAAGAAAAAAAAAAAGAAAAAGTTGTGACTCGAGTTCGTTAAGTCAATTAAGTTCGAGTGTTCGAATCTTAATGTTTTAGTTCATAGTTCGACATCGATATTATTTGAATGAGATTTCCTTCACTTAAAATACTGAAAACACTATTCTGCTCAAACAATGACAAGTAAATGACATTGGATGCAGGCAACTCAAGTTGGAGCACCAAATAAGCATTCGTTTGCTGATCAAATAACTACACTCTTCAAAGAGATTCGAAAAATACTCAACATCAAAATTTACTGAAAAAACATCCAATTGCAAATGTAAAATCTTAGAGACAAGCAAAACAACACAAACAGATTTGAAAATTCAATGGGAAGCGGCATTTGTTTCCTCGTACACGAAGTTCAAATAAACTTTTTACATTTGCATTCTTCCTTTTTAAAGAAACATTTGCATACTTTGAACAGCTCCGAAAACCAGGTATGACCAAGTCTATTGCAGAGAATAGCATGTCCATCTTTAGCATCAATGTAGGTAAAGGAGAAATCATGACATGCATGTAACATAACATGCAGATAGATAATAAGCGACACAATAACAGAACTCAAAATTTTATATTAAACAGACGTTCGTGAAACCTGTGAAGCTCACTAACACGGCAACTCAGCCCAGGAAATGATGATGATATCGTATTGAGCTCAATCTGAAGAAGAGATTTGGTTTCCTCATCTAACATATAATCTGAGCGATGTAACCCCAATCGTATGTCCTTGGGAAACAGATAAAATCGGAAATTAATTAATCTAGAAAAGCGAAGATATCCAAATTAAATTATCTTCCACAAAGACACAAATAGTTTCCGGGATATTGCAACCTTAGAATGGTAAAAGCGTTAGCCAGATAGTACAAAAACCATGTGCAGAGAAAATGTGACAGTCGATCTCCCTTAACAATATATTAACATAAAACATGCCAGTGGCCATTAAAGTGGGTTGATCACATCAAAAAACCTCACTCTGCCCAGATAAGCAGAGTAATTAAACCGGATAAGAGGCAACCCATGTTAAAAAACCATTTATATCTTTCAGTAAGTGAATTAAGCTGTAGCAAAACCGGGACACTAACTCTATGGCTAGCAAAAAAATTATCCATATTAGTTTAAAGTCAAAAGGCTAGAATCGAAACCTCTTTCTTGTTGATTTCTAACATCTTGGAGTGAATATCCAAAAGTCTAGATGTAAAAGCATCCACTTTCTTTGTCCTGTGTCATTTAAAGAGAATATAAATATCAGTCCAGCCAATCACAGCAAGGAAAGATTAAGAGAAAAAATAAAAGTAAAAAATGTTAATTTAGATTAACTTATTAGAAGGAGCTTGGAAGAAGGGAAAGAAAACAACGCAAAAACGGAAAGGCTTTAAGAGTGCTAGAAAATGACAGAGCAAGTTCTAAATTATAACAGCAATAGAGAGAGAGAGATGAACGGACAGAAACCCATGAGCAAGTGATGCGGAATAAAAGGAAATAATCCAATGTCCTTGGATCAAATCAGGGTCATATATATCACATCAGCCAAAGCTGGAGGTACAGCAAAGTCTTTCTTGATGCTTTACAATCTTCAAAGCATATTTAATGACTAACACATGTTGATAATTAAGAAGGCAGACCATACAAAACTATGCGACTGGTATGTCCATTCCTGATATATATATATATATATATATATATATATATATATATATATATATATATAAGACCTTGAGTATCAGTTCTCATGAAACAAAACAGAAAAGATTACTGGTACCGCCGAAAAAGGTGAGGATTCTACAGACCATATAATCAATTTAATCAGGCTAGAAATGTCCTAGTTATGCAAGATACATGCCCCCATAGCCAGAACCAGTTCAAATTGCACATATTCACCGTAGTTAAAGGTTAACACAGAAAAGTTACAGCATTCATGGATTGAGTCAATCGTATAGGAAATATGATATGGATCCTAAACCAACTAGCAACAAATGCATTCAAAGAGGCGAGAAAACTCTGGTCCTTTAAGAAATTACCTGGACAGAGACTTCTGCAGAAACTCCCCATCCAAACTCACCCGATCAACAAGTTCATTAAAAATAGGAGCCACTTCACAAGCTTGTTTCCAGTGAGTTTCAGGAAACGACATTGGCAACAAGGCAAAGGGAGCATGAACCATGTCTACACCAGGAACTTTTCCCGATTTCTGCATTTTTTTAACATTATCTTTTAGTTTTAGAGCATGTAATAATACAGGTTTACCATACCCCTCCATTTCAGCAATCAAAAGACTATCATTATAAATATTAACAGTAACTTCACTTCACAACTACATTTCAGTTTCAGGATATATCAAATTATATGACAAACGAAGAAGGCAGAAACAATCGAAATCCTCAATTCACAACTAAACATTTCCATTTAAAAGATATATATATCTCAGAAAAAAACAAAATTCAAAAGGAACCATTTGACAACCACGAACATTGTCCGTTTCATCTATCTACAATGTTATGGGAGAAAATTAAAATAGAAAGAAAGCCCTATAGTTTTTTTTATTTAAGCAAGACGAGTTAGACTAACCTGCGATTTTCTATCCCCAACAAGAAGGCCATGAAGAGAACTCCAAACAAGAGCATCATAAACCATCTTTTCAAGCAATTCCGATTGAATACTGAAAGGATCAAAACTGGGTTTCACAATAACCTCCGCTTTCTGAGATTCCATTGCTTCAACTCTACCACACCTCCTCCTCCTCCTCCTCCTCAATGCTACAGAAGATGACCCTTTATTAGAAAAGGCAACTTTGGCTAGATTCCTAGAATGGGTTATCACAAAAAGAGTGGATGGATTAAAAAGACAGGATTTTGATAGTGATTTATGAGAAAAGGTTGCAGTTGGTGAAGCAGTAGTGGGGCACTGATGAGTAGTGAAAGTGGAGTTGGAAGGAAAAGAGAGGGAGAGAGAGTTGGAGGAAGAATGAACAGCACCCATTTGAAAAAAAAGAAAGCCAAATGGGAATGTTCAATGTTAATCGTCGGGTCAAATCATTTCTTTCTGGCTGCGGAGACACCACAGAGGAGAATTTGGTTCTAAACTTTGTCCTTCCTCATTAATAAATTCACAAATCTTTTTGTTCCTTTTTTTTTTTGCCCATTTCTTTGTAACGTTTTCTTACTCCTAGTGTATATTGAAAGTCGAACACGAATACAAAGAGCCCTGGAACTCGAGGTCTAGTAACCTTTTACCAGGAAATTTTTCTGAATAGTGCTTTGTGATGACGAGGAGAATCTCACGAGGAGCAGTGATCTGATCACAAATGCCTAAATTACGATGAAAATTTCCGTCAGAAGCAGCAAAATAAGGCCAAAGCCAATGCCAGGAAGCGCTAGCTATTTTACTTTGTTCCTTCAAAGCCGATTTTCTTTAAATATTTGATGCTAGGTAGAACTTGGTCATCTTATAAATTTCTGGTTCTGTCAAACTAGTATGTTTGTAACAGAGAATGCAAATGACTGAATGAGGAGGTTCCACTAAAGTGCAAAAGGTAACTTTGGTAAAACAAAAAAGAATCAGTTTAACAGGAAAACAAGTTATATCTACAAAACAAAATTGATTCTTTTTCATTCAAACATGAAACACCTAAACTATTACACTGAGGTTTATAACAAGAATCTTGTCAGACGTAAAAAAAAAAATTGAACCTCCAACCTCCACGATAGAGACAGTGAATGTCCAATCCTAAGACTCTTTTTAAGGGATACAAGTCAGGCAACTCTCTGGATACTTACACTCAACGGCACTAAGTGCTCAAAATTTTTACCTTTCTATTCTTTGTCAAGGAAAGCAACAGATGAATAAGCGATCACGCTGCTTTGAAACTTTCAGAAAGGCCTTGATAGTACTGTATTTGCTGCACAAACACAAGACAATAAGAAAGAAACAAAAAAAGGAAAAAAGGTATTAAAATTCAGGATAGGAATGTTCGTGAGATTATATTTCAGAAAACTTAAGTCAAATTCAACCGTACTTTGTCTGACACCGAGGGGGAAATTTTCCCCAGTGCCTGTTCAAAATGCTCAGCTTTGATGGTCCATGGGGTCTTGCTATCTGAACTTTTGTGATCAGACATTAGTTTGTCTTGGAGGGCAGCCATAGCAGCTTCATTCATCTACAAATAAAAAATGCAAGTTAAAGATTCAGAACAATATTCTTTGACTAGATAGGAAAGAGATGGTTACAAACAGAAGTTGCTAATACCAAAGCAGAAAGATCTGCTCCACTAAGATTTTGACATGAATCTTTTCCTATTGCCATCAAGTCGACATCGGCATCTATAGGCTTTTTCCTTGCAAGAGTTTTCAGGATTAAGCCACGCTCTTCTGCGTCAGGAAGAGGTACATACATAAGTTTTCCGAACCGTCCTGGTCGGAGAACAGCCCTGTCCATCACTTCTGGCCTGATAATATCCCAAAAACAATTAGTCACGATGAAGAGATCTTAACTTGAAAACCCCTAGGGCAACCAAGAAAGAAACGACACATACCTATTAGTAGCACCAATTACATAAACACCCTTCCGATGTTCGGCACCATCTAACTCTATCAGTAGCTGCAACATCATAAAATTGGCAACTTTTAATATGCATACTCCAACCAAGTAAGGACAGAGATTCTTTTACCAGTAAGCCAAAATAGAAAATTAAATAACTGAAAAAATTCTTCACCTGGTTCAACAACCGCTCAACAACCCATCCCCCTTCTCTCCCGCGCTTTGTGGTCAATGCATCCACCTAGGAAAGATGACAAAGCACAATCTTAGTACAAGGTTTAGAAAGTTTTATAAACTATTAGCGGCTCAAAAAACTTCAATTTGACACAAGCTTTTAGAGAGGAGGAACTACCTCATCAAAGAAAAGTATGCATGGTGAACATGTTCTTGCACGACTGAAGACTGTCCGTACAGCCAACTCACTTTCACCAACATATTTATTTAGAAGTTCGGGACCCTGCAGACCAAACAGCAGAAAAATATTACTAAAAGGAAAGAGTCCAAATTTTTGAAAGAAGTACAAAGCTGAAATTGCTGCAGAACCTTGATATGTATAAAATTTGCTCCAGCTTCATTTGCAACAGCTTTGGCGATTAATGTTTTCCCACATCCTGGAGGACCATAAAGCAAAAATCCCGTCTCTAGATCCACACCAAAATCCTGAAACCATAGTTAACCTTGTGATTAGCATAAATGACAAAAAGGCAGTGATGTGTGCAAAGCAATTACCACACATGAGAGCAAATGAAACACAACACAAAACAATTACTTCCAAAAAATAAAGATGTCTAGGAACTCAATAATACATGATGCTCTTAAGAATAAATAATCATCCTAGATAACGACAAAAGGACTTGTTCGCTATAATTAAGAGTGACATCTGAAGATAAAAGTAAGAAACATTGTGTTAGTAGAAAGAGCAAAGCAAATCTATCAGTTCTCTATGCAACAACACTTTCTCAATAAAGGAGACTACAATGCAAAACCGATAAGCTATTACCTTTCCTGAGTAATAAACCACATAACACATTTCTAAACACAAACTTCACGGTCTGCCAGTTAGAAGACCAAAACCAACATCTTCAAATCCATCATATACACAATTCTGATGAGTACATAAGATGGTACCATGCTCTTAGGTTTTAACAAGTGATTATAAAGAATTTTTTTACCACCAGACCACCATTTGATCTTAAAGAATCTATTTCTGGGTCGCAAGGATCTCGAATTTCTCAAAATTCAGTAATTCAAAAGGGATGAACAGGCAAATACTCTGCTTTACCAGCTCTAATTGACAGTACTTCTTTTATCCATAGAATCTACATTAATCAAGCTGTTTTCCTTTTTCTGACCAGCTAAACCAAAGTAGTTGCAAGTCGAAAATAATTTGAAAATTTTATTTCCATCAATTCAAAAATCGGAAAGATATTAACATGCAAGTCCACAACAAGGTGGAGGTCTATGGCTCTATGCTTGGAATGCTCAACCACACCCATGGCCAAAACACCTCATTTCCATTTGACCAAACTTTGAACAAACATACTACAAGACTCAGAATGAGTACCATGATAGACAGCTGATATCCACTTGAAGTTTGAAGCGTGAACTTACACGTTGGACCAATTAGCTACATAATTTTATTTATATATATATTATACACACACACATGCATATGTGTGTATGTGTGTATAAAACACACTAACTAATACATTTGTTTACCATCTTCAAAGTTACTACCTTAAAACACATGCAATAAAGTTGATTGAAGTCCAAGATACAAATTAGAGATAGTGATTTGTTTAATGCTGCTATAATAGAATAGACTATTATAATGTTAGATTCAAAAAGAAACAACCACAGAAGGTTATAAAAATGCCTCAGATAGAAGCACATCCAACAAAAAGTATCCACTTAACAATATTTAACTGGAGACATGAAAATAATGGGGCTGCGCTGGAAAAATCTACCAGAATGAACTTATACTTTTAGATTTAAACAATCTTAATTTCATTTCAGTAATAATAAATTAATAATCAGTTACCTCATAATCCTCTGGAAACTTGATACGCCTGACAATATAACGGTCAAATTCCTGTCTCAAAACATGTAGCCCTCCAACATCATCCCATTTCACATTTGGAACTGCAGAAAAGCCTTCCCGCCTCGAAGATGGCTGAATCATTCCAGCTGCTTCCTGCCACCAGCCAAGCACAGCAACTTTCAAACATCACAGTCAACCATCACAAGTAGAACTTCTGACGACAATTAATTTCGTGAAACAAGACTAGGCAGATGAATAATTCATTCACACACCACACGACATACTTTACCATGTAATTCATTTTTCCCTCTAATTCTCCCCACTATTATGCGCCCACAAAGAGACGAGGGCCAGTGGACGAGGATCAGCCAAAATTCTAACTACAAGTACCTATATTCATCTTACAGGACTTTTACCAGACAACCCAACTGCAGACAAGCCCAAGTGACTACAATTTCTGAGGATCTGAAAAGGCCTAAAAATTTCTAACAGCAATAAACAGAAAGGAAACTAGAAGGCCAGAAAAAAACAGAAAGCACTGACAACAAAAGAGGTGTCCTCTCAACTAAAAATACCTCAAAATCAGCCATGGTGATGCTTAACTTTTCCATCTCTTCCTGCGACCAAGGTTGCTTTAACCAGTCCTCGGAATGCTCCCCATCCACATTATTTTTTGAAAACTCAAGCTTTCTGAGGTCGATAATTCTCTTCATTGCAAGATTGCCAGCCTTGTTGGTGAGTGCAGCCAAGTCAGCCCCAACAAATCCCGGGGTTGCCCTCGCTATCTTCAACAGATCAAAGTTACCTTCAACTTTAAGATTTTGTGTAAGGACTGAAAGAATCTGAACCCTCGCATTTTCATCTGGAACACCCAAAGCGATTTCCCGATCAAATCGCCCGGGCCTTCTTAAAGCAGGGTCAACTGCATCAGGCCTGTTTGTAGCTCCAATAACTAAAACATAACCGGGTCTAGCATTTGCGTTTTCTGATTCTGACTCCCCGACAACAGGTTTTCCTGGTCGATGTGATTCATCCATGCATGTCATCAACTGTGTTACAATCCTTCTTTCCATTTCACGCTGCAGATTTTCCCTTTTTGAAGCTATAGCATCAATCTCATCAATAAAAACAATTGAAGGAGCAGTCCTGTATGCTTTAGAGAACAGTTCCCTTATGTTTTCTTCTGAAGCACCTGAGATACAAAGGTCCATACTTAACTAAAAGATCATGCAAAAGGCAGGTAGAAGTTGTCAAATAAATACAAACATAATGCAAGACAGGATATCATCAGAAGCTTCTCACTTTAATAGCCATCCTAATCACTTCAAGCTAATATTCTCAAATGAACACAGACTATTACAACTCTTCCAGATTATAGGAACATCAGTATCATAAAACTTCAAAAAATTCAGACTTCACAAACTTTACAGCCACAAAGGATGTTTGCGTGTTATCATCAAAATCCAACTGAATTGGAAAAAGGATAAAATAGAACATAGATTAGCAGCAACAACCATTCATAGTATTCCCCATTAGTCGAAAAAGAAAACACCATTTTTGGCACAAACATGCAACAGCCACACAAACATTCTGAAAAGGATTCACATAACAGAGTTTCAAGATTTTACCTGAGATACCAGACACCAATTCGGTAGCAGATATCTTGTAGAAAGGAACACCGGTCTCATTAGCAATAGCATGAGCAAGCTTAGTTTTCCCACATCCCGGAGGTCCGTGCAACAAAATTCCAGCCATTGGCCTAACTCCAAGATGCAGAGGCAGATGGGGATGATACAATGGCACAATCACCTCCATCTTCAGTTCCTCCACAACTCCATTCATTCCACCTAAATCTTTAAACATTGGCCCGCCATTTTGAACCCTTTCATCACTCCTCTCCCCATCCGGTTCCACTTTGTTCTTCGCCACTCCTAACTTCTTCTTACCTCTTTTTTCTTTAAACAAATCAACTTTCTGATTCCTCTTACTATTACTCACAACCTCCAATTCCACTGCCTGTTCATCTTTCGCCTCGTCGTTCCTTCCGGTTTTCGCAATGTACCGGTCCCTCAACTGAGACTTCATCACATCAAACTTAGGCTCGTACGCCTCCTCAAAAATCGAATCACCAGATGTGGAAACCTCCTCTTCCTCCGAAGTAGACACAGTAGAAACCCCATTCTCCTCCTCCACGGAATTTCTCCTGTAATTAATCACATGCCTCATCTCCATTTCCTGTAATTTCTCCTCATCTTTGTCCATAGTTTTAACCTTTTTCTTACTTCTCAACACATAATCATCATTACTATCGCTACCACTATCATCGTCACTATCAACTGCAGAATTCTGTAATTTCTTACTGTTGAGTTCTTGCTGAATGCTGTTGACTTGTCTGGTGAGTTCGCTGAGCTTTACCCGTGCATAGTCCCTGTTCACCGATTGGATGTAGCTCACGAGCTCGTCGACGGTGGGGTTCTTGTTTGGGCATGACTCAATTTGCCGCATAAGAGCTTTTCTCAAAGATCCGCCGCGTCCACCACCGCCGCCGCCACTGCCGGGTGTGCGCGGACGGCGTCTTCCCTTCCCCATAGGACGGCTTGGTTGTGGAGGGTAAAGGCGGCAGTTCTGTGGAAAAGAGGGTTTTAGAATAATTATTTTTCAAAAAAAAAAAAAAACCTTTCGAAAGAAATGCGAGGGTTTATGGTTTCTCGTTGCCTTTTCCCACTAAAACCTCTCAATTTCGCAGCTAAAAATCCCCTTTTTGTCTCCAACCAAAGGAACCAATTACTACTGTTTCTTCGTTTTCGCCTTACCAAACCTTTATCATATATTATCTTCAAAAAAATAATTTAAAAAAAAAAACCTTTATCATATTCAAGTGAAAAACTATGTTTGTTTCGTTTTTTTAGTGTGTATTTTTAAGTATTTTTTATATTAAAAATATAAAAAGATATGGTGGATTGGGACAGTTAATAATAAAATAATAATATAAAAAAACCAAAAAAAATGAAAAAATACAAACAAATGCTACTCATAATTTATTAAGCAATTTACTAAGTGAACCAATATAACGAGTATCTACCTATATAAAAGGCTGGAATGGCACGGTATAATGACGGTTGTCGGTGCCTTTTCTATAAGCGTCGTTGGCCGATTGGATGAGCTGCTATTCTGCTCTTTGCGGCGTCTCAGTGCGTTTTCTGTATTTGTCGGTTGCCGGTGATGGTTCAAATGGTGCCTCCCCTCTCTCCTGCCAAACCTTTCTCCGGTTTCTTTTTCAAATCTCTCTCCTCAACTCACTGGCAAAAAGAAGGTTCTCTCATCAAAGAAAGGCAGATTGACACCACGGAGCGCCGAGTTTATGCTGTTTTTTTTTTGTTCTTTGATGATTTTTTTTTTGGGAAATACTATCTTTGATGATTGGCATGAAACGAAATTGTATTGAGATAAGATGAAATATTGCTTGACTTTAGGTAGGTATGTGCATAATAAAATTTACCTTGTCATTTGAGTTTCTAATGCCAATTGCTATACATGCCAATTATACTTTCTTACCTACATTCAGGTGTTCGATAAAATTCTCAAGAGAACTGTTATTAATTTGTTGAAACACTAAGTAGGTAATAAGTTTTAATTCCCAGCACTTTTCATTAGTGAACAATGATTGAGCTTTGCAGGTCGAGGACAAAGCCTTACACACACGAAAAGATACAGGTATTTGGATGCTTCTTTGTTATTCTTCTCCAATCTCTATGCATAATTTTTGGAGAGACTGCTCAATTGTTCTTGGAAAAAGTTAAAGTGATGAGTAGTATTCTTTAGATAATGAACGAAAGGGGTGATCATTTCTTTCTTTTGGTGGCGGGAGGATAGAACTTTGGTCAGTAGTTAGATCAGCTTTGGTTTATTATGTGGTGAGATGCGTTTTTCATTTTTTTTTTTTTTTTGGAAGTATTAGACAGATGCTTTAAAGTGATCAGCTTTGATAGATTGGTTTCACACTTCTCGCATAATGATACCTGATGTGATTTGCCATGATGTGTGCTAATAAGAATTTCAAAGATTGTCATAATGCAGTTCCACTGCTTAAATGTGCACTGCTTTATTTATTGTTTCCTTCAGTGTCAACCGATTTTGCCCTCATTTTCATTTGCGTTGCAGCCAGCTTTTAGGGCAAAGGCATTGCAGCTCCATCCGGATCAGAACCAGAATAATAAAGGTGCAAATTGATCTCACTATCATCAAATTTACTTGTCAACCTCGTGCATAAAATTGAGCTCCCACCTTCTAATTTTCAAACCTTCTTTCTAATTCATAAAAAACCTCCCACCTCCTGGAACTTTCCTCCTGTCTCGTTCTCATTAACATCTCCACTTTGACTAATTTATACTTCTTTGTTGTGGCAAAGGTTGTTGAAGCTAAGTTTAGGGAAGTTATGACGACGTACAAAGCTATCAAGGCAGAAAGAAAGCTACAATAAGGTGTGCTCATCAAACATTAAAGGAGTTTTGTATTTTCTGTTGGGTTTCCCGCTGAGAGAGTAAATGTGAGATTCATTGGAGTTACAATATGCACAATATGCGAGAATAAAAGGCTACTGACAAATATCCGTAATGCAGCCATGAAGTACCATTGTTTATTCAGAGAAATTCTTGTTTTAAGTCATTTTCGGTAAATACGGTTGCTTTGTCGTCGTTTGAAAATGGTGCTTCAGATATATACAACAGTATAGTCGCAGTCACGGCTACTGGAGCCAATTGAAGAGGTATATAAAATAGTTGTACTGAATAGAGTGATTATGTGACACCCTTGGATACCCTCTGTTTTGGCCGCACCCAAGGAAGAAAACAGGAAAAGAAGTGACAATAATTTGAGCTGCTTTCAAGTCGGCCAGAAAATGGCTTACCAATACCATCTTCAGAACCAACTGAAACAGTAAGTGCTAACATCATATAGGCATTGATGAGTATATTGTTAGAGCTGAAAATTTGAAACTTCACCATGATACTCAAGTCCTAAGAACTGAAGAGTTACAGAGAATGAGCAATCACTATGGTTTGGAAGTTGTTTCCTTTATCACGGATTGATCTTCCACTTTCAATGAGTTTGCACTCTCACTAATAAGGTCACGGTACATTTATAATATATATTCCATGTAATATATTTGTACCATAATGCAATCTAAGTAGTTTACAAATTTTTATTTTAATTTGATTTTGACAAATTCTTTTAAACTTCACCACGGGTTTATATCTCCAATAACCGCACCTTGTGCGGTCACTGTCAACCTAGTACTACTTTAAACGATTGTACGGCTTTGACGCAACATTTCTAATTTGAAATCACCCACAAAAAGTATCACTATCCTAATATCCTTTACTCCTTTGGAGTCTACTGACACTATCATTCTTTCCAATTCTCGAGAGATTTTACAGAATGTTACGAAATCTATTGAATGTTTCCTGTCTCAAAAAATAATTAATATTATTTTTATACTAAAAAAATATATAAGTCTTAAAAATCAATATGGACTATCTTTTTCGAGAAATAGTTCACATGATTTTCACTTAGGCTCTGTTTGGTTGGACTGAATTGGACCAAATGTCTCCAATTCCAATTCTTGTGTTTGTTGATAAAAATAGAGCTTCAGGAATTAGAATTATAATTCAAGATGGGCTCAATTCTTTATTTTTAATTCTTTTGTGGGAGTAAATAATTGCAATTCAGATCTACAACTTTAATAAAAACTCACGGGTCAACTTATGGGTGAAAAACAGGTTATAAAAAAAACGGGTCGTTTTTTGGAGGTTGTAAGGACAATTCGGGCGTGCTTGCATGCCTTACAAAAGGAAGGTCATTTCGAGACATTCCCAAGTCCCCACGCGCAGAACTCCTCTTTCAATTTTGTTTTTTTTTAAAAAAAAAAATTAATTTCATTTTTAAAAATCTTTTCCCATATTTTTATTTGGCTACTTTCAAATCTTTTATGTTTTTTTTCCTCTTTTGCTTAGGAAGTACTTTATTCTTTTTAATCATCAAAATAAAACATACAAATTACAAATAATTATTAGACCCTTATACGTGGAAAAATTTTAAGTTTTATCAATATTCTCCAAAATATATCCATATATCCATACTAAAACATATAGGTAAAGGTATAACTAACTATTTTAACTTATGTAAAATTATTTTATATTATAGTAAATGATCAATTTAGTAAGGTAAAAATAATCATACGAAGTACAAACGAATAATAAATATATTTATTATACATGAATATAAGATTTGATATTATATACTAGCAAAATTATTAGCATATACAAATTAATGTCAAACTGTAATTCTATAAATAAATGAACATTGATATGCATAAATTGAATTTTATGTTAAATATAATTTCTTTCTACTATAAAATAAGAAAAGAATAAAAAAATTGAAACTAACATTGTACGTGAAAAATTATAAAATGGAGGGAAATGTGGACGTTGTATTTGTTACTTGTTTATATGCTGTGTGAATACTTTAATTTGTGCATTAATAATTCTTACGTAATAAAAAAAAAGTTTTCCATTTAAGGCGGCCGATTTTGTGTAATTTTGTTGCAGAATATCTGAATATAAATCTGAACTTTATGATCTCTTGATGTAGCCTTTTGGGTCATTTTGCGCAGAATATCAGAATATTAATCAGAACTTTATGATCTCTATGTAGCCCTCTTTCTTCAGTAGCATCATGCTGTTGGTACTTTGAAAAATTGCAGGCATTCAACAAGCAAAAACAAGAGCTTGCCAATGCAGATTCTGACTTAATAATGACAGATTAAATTCAAATGGTCCAATTCGCAATTCCTTCCCCATTCATTCATCATTCATCACGATTCTGGAGAGCTTTTCGGCTTTCCCAATCCCAAGGAACAATTACCACCATAGTTTGTTCGCCTTTAGGAAGGATTTCAATGAAGAATCAATTACTGCAGGCTCCATTTTCTTCTTGCTTCTTAGTTCCCTTGTATGAACTCCGAAACATGAAGATCATGTGCTTTAGACTCAGCGCTACATGATACAGGGTTTCCCAAAACCACAGTCTTCATTGCCTGTGCTTCCAGGATCTCTGAGATGAAGACATACCATCTGCGAATGATCGACAGCCCAATGCTAAGAATGCCTCCCCCTTTCCAATGCTTCATCAATTTCCCAGCAGCTAAAACTGAAGAAGTAGACATGACGTCGAGGAGTTTGCGGCAAATGACTAAAGCATTGCAGGCAGAGCCAACTTTAGGCAGCATAGGGTTGAAGAGCTATCGAAAATGACCAGATTTCTGGAGTTGTCTGACTTGTTACTCAGTTTCGTCCAAATGATCGTTCATTTTCCAGGTATGTGTATATAAATTATTGGATTGCTTGATCTGAAGGCAATGGATTCCCAAGAGGGCAAGGAGAGAGGCGAAAATGTGAAGCAAAAGGAATAATTTGACTTCAAGCAAGGTTCTTTTCTTCTTGCTTCCGCAAAACATCCAACAATGGACTTAGAAGAAACATCTTTTTTCATCAGAGGAATAAAGCAACACTTGCAAATAAAAAAAACCTTAATTTTAGAGTTAATTTGGGATTACACCAGATAAACACGAGAAAAAAGCAAATTTTGTTCCTTACAAACTTCTTTGCACCAAAACTAGATCATTTAAACACGGTCAATGTCCAAAAATGAGAAGGGACAACCAAAAAATCAAATAAAAATCAATATCATTTACTTCTGATGAAGTTGTAAACTACTCAGGATTTCAATAGATTATTGGCTGAGCATAACTAATGTGTTACTCTGTTCAAACGATGTGGAGAAATCACCCTTGGGGCTATAAGATGATGGATGCCAATTCTTTCCATCAGGCAAACTTAATATGATTTCAGCGACTGAAACAAAAAGGATAATGTGGATGAGTATACTTCTATGTTGCAGTCAAGAGAATTTTCCTCCTCACTGGAATGATGACCAAGTTAAGTATTGATTCGTCCACAGAGGCGCCAGGATGCTCCTGGGTGGAAGAGCGATTTCTCAAAAACCCATATCTCACGAACAAGAACCTGTTCAAACAAAGAAACCATATTACAGGGTTATCTTAATGTTCGGAAGTCACAAAACTATTGTTAATTTTGCTATCTAGGATTGATCCCCAAAGAAGCAACAAGTAAGCCTTATCCCACTACGTGGCATTGGTTATATAGATCATATGTTGACAACAATCAATGCATTCTGGTTGAATGAAATGGCAATGTCTCAACTCTCAGACACAAAAATAGCACCTCAAATCTCAACCTACCTCCTTGTCTTTGTCTCCAGCAACGACATTCCCGGTTGCATCACATGCCTCAAATTTCTGCATGTTGGCAATATATCAACAAAAAAGAAAGAACAAACTCAGCAGAAATATCAGTGCAGCATTTTGTATTATGGACATTTCAAGAACTTGAAACTATAGGCAAACTCGATTAAGCAAAATTACCTGTTTAGTAAGAAACTCAAGTGTCAGCTGTACGAACACTTTACTAAGATCATTCCGATCAACTCCAATCTGTGAAAGAAACAAAAGTTGAAAAACATGAGTTCATATTACTTTGAAAAGCACAAGCTGATCAGAACTTGAAACTCTTATACTGGATCTGCTTGCAGAAATGAAATACAAACATCTCTTTGGAGAAGTGGCTACGAAGACAATAAGCAACACCCTGCACCCCCAACCACCACCAGAAAAAGCAACTATCTCTCTTCCTATGCAAGGCTACGCAAATGCAGTCGAGTTAAAAAAAGAAGAAAAAACAAAGCAAACTGAGCGCCCTAGTCATGGAAATAACAAAAAACATGTGTGAAATAAATAGTGAGATACGAATGCCCCATTATATATCACACGGGAGGAAGAAATAGCAAGAAGCAGGCAACATTGACGTCTGTTATCAAACCTACAAGAGAAGAAAAAAGAAAGAAGAATTCGGGAAGACAATAAACATGTAATGAACCAAAGGAGAGACTGTAGAAATAATAAATTTTCTTCTTTTTTTTTTTTTTTGGTTGGAAGCTTAGCCTGGACGATAAGCCGGATAATTCCGTACAAAACAGAGTTTGACTCTGATTCTACGTCTACTAACAGAGAAATACAGCAAGGGGGGGAATCAAAAAAATACAACCCCCTATTTACAGAAATAACAAATTTCATATCTAATAAACGACGCACACGATGAATATGTAACCAGTAACCGGCAAAGGGGCATATCTAGCTAAATTGAAAGAGAAGAAACATCTTAATGTATGTTTCCGCTACAGCGCAGATGAGATGAAGTTCAAAGAGAGCACAGAAAACTAGCAACTAAGATAGATCTTCAAGAAATACTTGCCAGTCGAGCACGGAGTGTACGTATTTTAACTGCTGGCCCCACTAGCTCCCAATCCAATTTACTCCATTTTGATTCTCTTAGCTTAATTTCATTCTTCAGAGCCTGTTGTATCAGACCAAACGGAGGAATTAGGCTCAGGCAGAAGGATAATCCTGAGGGCACTCTGAAAAGGTGGAAATACATACAGAATACATCTTCTCTGTAACTAACTTCCTCAAAGATGTTTTGTTTCCTTGTGCCACAAGCGTGCTTATCTGAAACGTCAATAAGAAGGGAAACTCAATTATTGACAAAATCCAAAGTAGAAGAGGATTTGTGACTGGCTGGACTCCAATGAATAAACAATCTCTTCATGAAGGAAATCTAACCTCTTTGTACAAGTCAAAGGCTTCATTGTAAAATTTATGCTTGTTGTATCCAGTTTTGCGAAGTTTAGCAATTGCATAAGCACTTTTGAGCTGCAAATACAAGCTCATAACATCAGAAACCCAAGAAAGAGCTTACAAACTAATCCGAGTCAATTGAATGTTTACTAATCTATAAAAAGCACTCAACGACATGCAAATGGACAGTGATTGTCAAGTAACTGGTTAGAGATTATTTGACTTGTGCATGAAAGAAAGAGTAAACTTTAGGAACTGTTGTAAATTCGGAGTATTAATAATAGAGTGACAGATGGACTCTGATATTCCTTTCCGTAAACCATAATAAAAATAAAAAATAAAAAAAAAGATGAAAAATCCCGAGTACACAAAGATGGAAAAAAGTACCTCTAGGATAACATCCTCCTCTGTTCTTCTCCAACCACTTCTTGTAAACCATCTGATACCACAAACTATGATTAAGCATGAAACAATAAATCCATACCCGTAAAACTAAAACAGTTTCGGTGACAGAAACTATAAAACCAAAACATGACCCATAGCTAGAGAAGTTTATGTAGAAACAAATAATGAATGCCAATCATTTGCAATCAAGAAACAACCACACATAAAAGATTCATAAATTTGCCGATAAACCTGATCAATCCATTACACTTTGTTCTTGAAGTTATCATACATGAAGTTCTGCCTTTTGAAACCACATACAATTTTAGAACCAAAAATATAAAAAAGAATAAAAATCGGCAATTTTGGTGTTTGATAATTCTACGTCGTACGGATTTGGATTTCACATATCTTAAACTCCCTTTCCTTTATTACGTACTTACAACTTGTTCTTAAAATAAGTACTATCTGAAGGCAACCAAGTTCATCTGTAACATGCTAGATAACAAAAACTATTCAGTCAGATAGTCATGAAACCAGGATATAGCCATAAATTAATTACTTTCCCAACACCAGTTACATGCACACTATTCATAGCCATTTTTTTTGGCTAGTGGATTCTAATAATTACCTGGAAGCATAATAACATGAACGAATTCCTGCGTATTACATGACATTGACATTCGTTCCTTTTTCCATCACAAACATTGACGTTGATCACAAAAGTTTAAGTAGTGTACTCAACTCTTACCTTTTCCAAAAAGGAATCTTTTCTCGAGGAGCATATGGCTCGTACACAAATCCAGGACTCAGCATAGATACTTGAAGTGCTCCCTGTATCAGCAGAAATTTGATCAAGTCAGTCAAGTTAAGGATCCCAGGATCATGTAATGATTATACAACCGATTGTTTCCCAGCCACAGATGTTACAATTCAATGGGACTCGGCATTTAATTCTTCATTAAATCTTTTATAAAAGTCGCCAAATACCCAGAAGAACAACTCACTCTTTAATTTGTAATATGTTCATACTGCAGAAACAAATCAAATAAACATCAAAAAAAAAAAAAAACCTCAAAACCCATAAACCGTGAAAACATGTTAGCTATAACCACAAACTAGCTTATATAAGCTCAAAATAGTCATCATACTACACATTCACTATTGGGAACAATTATATTACAGAGCATAGATACTAAAACCCTGGTAAACAGTCTACTTCTAAAAAAGTTTCCAAAACCACGGGATAACAATAAAACACAACCCCTGTTACTTCTCATGCAGTAATAGCAGTGTATCACATGTTCTCCAATAAGAAGCATCGGTATAAGCTCATACCATTTGTCGCGCTTGGGCAGGAGCTTTTGCTTGGGTTGCAAATGATCTCACATTTGTGATACTGGGTAACCCAGCTGCCTGTAAGTAAATATAGATGCTGAATGAGATGATATGTCATGCTAAGGAAAGTACAAACTTCAAAAATAATCCAAAAATCAGGTGACCTGATCAATAACAAACGATAGAGAAGGTCAAACTAGCCAACTCCTAAACAACTCAAACCAAACAGAAGCAGGCTTTTTTCTCAAAGGGGAGAAAAATGGTCCTTGATTTCTGAAATCTTACCATTGTTGCTCTAAGTATAAATTTATCTCCAGAAGTCCAAGGTAGTCCATCAGGGTCCTTAGTCACACATGATGATATATTCCTAAGGTTCATTTGTGGAACTAACCACAGTAGGAAACAAATCAACTTTGAAAGTAAGATAAACGGAGACAGAAAAACAAGAGAGTAAAATCTGAGTGTCAGCTTACATTGAGTATTCCATCCATATTTAGAATATTGTCTGTAAAAGAAAGAACTGCCCCAGCATTTTGGATCTGATAATGAAGAACATCGCGACAGTATGTCATCAGATATAAGATGCTTCGTTCGGAAAGGAAACAAGTAAATCATTATAAAAAATGGCACCTTCTAGGGTAGAAAAGGGGATAACAATTTCTGAGACCCAGACAAATAACTCATGCAATAAATGGAAAGCTTTAAAATCCCATAAAACCATTTGCAAAAAGAAAAACATACATTGATATAAACTTATAAGCTTATTTTGAAAGGAAAAGAATAATTTCAGAAAGCTAGTATAAAAAGGACATACATATGATCCACAGCAACGGCAAGACATGATGCACATAACGGCTTAACGCTAAATCAGAAATTCAGAAACCAACAAGAACAAACTTATTTTAAGTTTTTAACTGAAAAGAACAAACTTGGAAGAAACCAAAAGACACCAAATAACATCCCCAATTACACTAGTGATATAGACTGAGATAATCTAATCAATGGTTTAGTGCAACTTAATGAAGCAAATATACTCATAATACATTGAAACTAAGAGCAACTTTCAATCGGAAACACACAATATCTTAATAAGTTTGAAGCAAAAACATTTCTTCCGCAGAAAACAAAAGAAGAAAAATAGAAAAGGGGAAATCGCAGAACAGAGACAGAAACATCTGACGAAGAAAAATGCAAACCCACAAGGCCACAAACCTATATCAAAGAATTACCATTCGAAGTTAGATTTGAGTAGCTTCTCGAGCTTCCAAGCCTATGAATAATAACGACCACGGATCAGCATTTAGGAAAAACATTTTAATCAAAGAAATCAAATAAGGGAGACAAAAAGACACAATCTTTGGTGATATTTCTTACAATTGAGTAAGTTCCGCAACATGGGTTCTTCTTCGACAGAGGTTCTGAAATAAGCGCAAATGTCCCAACGCCATTTTCGAGCTTTCGCTCCCCCTCACAAACTGTTCTTCTCTTTTCCTTCGGTGTGGGTTTTTCCAAAAAAAAAAAAAGAACAGGGTTTAAGGAGAGAGGATTAAATTGCAAGAAGTCGTTGCGATTTAGCTAAAAAGCGAAACCTCGTCTAAGTGAAGTCGTACGCTCGAAATGCTTCAGAAAAAACTATTTTGTTGGTGGTAATTTCGTGTAGTAAAAAAATAATTTTAAAAGTACTTTGCTCATGTAAAAAGTAGTAAAAACAAAAAATGGAATGAGAGCGGGGAATATGAAAGTGCGAAGAGAAACAGCTATGGAAGTTTGCAGTCAATTTATTTGGACTCTGTACTTTGATAACAATAACATTAGTCATTTTTTACATTGGCGTAAACTTGGTTATCGTGACAGGGACGGTTATGTAAATTACCAAAGAGTAAATCTTTACAATTGTAGTATTGCCAGTGAAACAAAAAAGTCTTATAGAAGAAGAGAACCTCATATATTCAAAAAATTGGTTCCTTCTTACAGAGAAGTTGAAAATTACATTTTAAAGTATTTAACATAGCAAAATGAACAACCCAACAAGAAGTTCACTAGCTCAAATGGCTCATTTGGTGGTGTTTCCCCAACTTATATTTGCAGGTCTCCGGCCACCAATTGAAACCCATCTATAAGATGTCTGAACTATAACAATCTAACAAAACATGTTGCAGCAAGATCTCTTTGCGCCATCAGCAGTCAATGTCGAACATATTTCAATCTTGTCACGATCTTTTTCGCCAAAACTAACAGTGACGTTCTTTCATTAGGCAAGATACTAAAGGACTGTCAATGAGATCGCAGCAGAACGAAGCTTCATACCATCATCGTCCCACTTGGATTGAGGTGCAGTAGCCCCGGCAATGATAGCCTAACAAATTTGAAAAACAGGTTACAGGGCTGTTGATGTAACAAAAGTTTCCTGATCATAAAATATGAAAACGAGTTCAGATGACCTTGATCTAAGAGCAATGAGATGCCTGCCTAATTAGGAGGAATCAACTAATTAAGAAAGCTTGAGAGGAAGAAGGGTAGAGACACCTAACAACAACTAGCTTATTATATGTTTCTATCTAATGCATTTTGCTTATGAAATAGTTAATCTCAATGTAAAACAACTCATAGTTTAATTCATTCAAAAGTTTGGGCGTTGGTTAATGTTAGTGACAAAGAAGTAATCATTTCATTAGCAATCAGCTCAGGCAACAGTAGTAATGTCAAAGTAAGCAGGATCAACAACCATGTACGAGTGCGAACAACTTACTTTTCCACTATTTACAGCAGCTACCAGTGCAACACGTTGCTCATCTCTACCAAATTCATAGAAGTAATAAGTCCTGAAACAAGTTTCATAAAAAAAAAGGAGAAAAAGTATTATTACTCCAGAATATTAATGAGTGGTGAACCTTCTGTTAACGTATTGAAATTAAAAGATGTTTTCCCACAATTGAACTGCTCATAAATAAACGGTAGCAAATGTTACAAGACCTTCATTTCATGCTTTTTCTTTCCTCGCCTTAACAATCCTAATGTTCTTCCCTCATAGTTTATCTCACCCCCAACGGAACATAAACAAAAATAAAAAAAAAAAAAAACTGGAAATGGTAATAACATTTAACAATGTATTCTTAAAACCATTACTTACCTAAACCCTTCATCTTCCTTCACTTTTATAGTGCGGGCAGAATAAAGAGTGGCTCCACCTACAGGATGATATGGATATTGATAACTAAACCAATCCGAGAAAAGAAGATGGCTATGGAAGAGCAGGAAAGTAGGGAAATGACGTGAATACTCTAGATGCAAATGGCCCATGCAAGGAATACCTGGAACAAAAATTTTAGCTGCATCTTTTAAGGAGCCAAAATCAGTGATATCTTTGGCCTGTTCAGGAGAACAAAATACAAATTACATATTATTAGGACAGAAAGGCATATTTTGTTTCCTAAAAATGTATAAAAGGCATAGTTAGAAAAAGGTGATCAGTGTGACCGAAAATTGCTTTGTGCATCGAAAGGTTTCAAGCTGAGTTCTAAAAACATTATCAATTATCTTTGCAGAAACAAAAAGATGAAAAAAGTCTGTATTTTCGAAGATTGATGCTGCTATAATATACTGTTGGTAATGTTGCAGATTAGCTGAGCTCGGATAAATCCAGAACAATAAGCTGAAAAGTCACTCATTTCCTGGTAAGTCTATCTAGTTTCAACATAGAAGACATTCATATGTAGTCATCAGTTTTACAAAAACTACTTCAGTTACTAACCTCTAAGAATGTGATCTTCAATTGATTAGATGGGCGAGTCACAACACTTAAAACTTCAGACCTGAATTCACAGGCCAAAATTGTGAGAATATTCTCATTGTAGAGAACTATAAGAAGAGTAATAACACAGTAACTACAACAAGAACCGAATCGAGATGACAAGCTTTAAGTTGAATGAAGATCTGAGAGCAATCATTTTTAGTTTAAGTGAGTGATCGTACAAGTATCAACAGTAGAAATAATTATCACATCCCTAAAAAGTTCATAGCTTCGGAAAGCCAAACTGTAAGAGGAATTTCACCCTCAAAATTTTTCCCAAGTCCATAAACAAGGAAGTAATGTTTGCTATTAGCTTCTCCGAGCAGATACTTCAATCTAGCAGATTATCTCATATACTAAGAAATAGCAATCCCACGACGGTTATGGAATATGAAAATATTAAATAAATTATATCAAAGCAACGAGAAGGATATTTACCCGTCTGTAGAAGCAAACCGTGCAGCAAAAGTTTTTGGCTTAGCCTTATCTCCATACAAAGATAACCCAGCATTATAATCCTACATAAACATTGAAAAGAAAAGACTCTACGTTATCTAACTAGGATATTTCTCAAAGAGCGAGAGAAGTATTTGAAAGAATGCGAAACATCTGAATTCAGATATTATTATTCTACATATTCAATACTTTATAAGCAGTGGCACAGCAGAGGCCATTTCATGCAAGTTCTCGTCAAGCATATTGTTTTTGGCTTGTTATTAAACAGGACAAACTTTTTCAGGATCACTCTTAACGCAGACAATAGAGTTGACTTGCTAGTGCAGTAAACAAAGTGATAAATTGTCAGGCAGAAACATTTGGAAGCAGTGAATCCTGCAGGAATGCAAATCCTTTCAAATGTCATACAGCAACTTCCTCACTCAATAAGTCAGCACTTGGGCTAGACATAAGTTACCTTAGAGATCCATTATCTTTATTTAGTTTTTAATTTAAAGAAAGTCAGAAACTTAAACGTGAGGAATCTTTGAAGGCACATTTGATATTCAACAAACAGAGAAGTCCGGGTTTCAAAAAGTTAAAAATGCCCACCATTCACTTTGCCTTTCATTTTAACAATGCAACAAATCTTTACCAGGCCAAACCACTGCAGATCGCAGCACCAGTTCAATTACCATAGAGACAGCACTCGTTTCCACCAGACTGTATCGGAATAAATCGAAAGTTTTTTTGATAAACGAATAAATCGGAAGTTATTCTTCTCCTTTTCCTAACCGTACAGACAGCTATAAGTTTAACCTAAGGGACTTCAGCTTTCTTTAATCTTGTGAGAGGCAGCATACAAGGATGGAACTGCTTTTCATATATTGAACCAAGAACCCCAATCTTAGAGGCTAGGAGGACAAAAGTATCTTCCCATGTACAGCGGTAAATGTTGATATAGTCAACACAAATTTCAAGGTTCTCATACCTTCCAATTGTATACCGTACAGACATCCTAAAAAGTTTAATCTCATCTCAAGTTATCTTTCCACTCCACTCAACCTTGATAGCTTCATCATTCACAAAAATATAATCCCACCAAGTTAGGTTTAATGCCAACATGAAACTCTCAATTCAGAGTCATAATCACATTCATAATCTAATGGGAAAAAATTGTTCATTTCTGTAGCCAATTTTCTTCAGGAATTATGCATTTCTCTGATTAAAACCAGTTGTAAAATAGCCCACTAAACACTAAACCTCACACATCACTTCAAATTGATGCATAATGGTAGACATTCGGGGAAAAGATATACTAGTATTCAGCAAATTGAACAAAACAAAAGTTTATCCTAATCATTGAACAAGCAAAAGTATGAGAGAAAGCATCAAAATTAAAACCTCAGGCTCCATGATATCCTCAAACTGGGGTGGGACCCGGATGGCAAATCCATCACCATAAAACTGGAACCAAGACTTAGTATTGACAATTCCCGAGAGAATAGACGACGGCGATTGTGGTGGAGGCGAAGGTGGTGATGAAGTTTCAACAGCAGAAGATGTGGCAAGATGCTGACTTTGAAGGAGGAGAAAGCTCAGTGAAGTGGTGGTGAAAATGAAATTTCTTCTGGAGAGGATGAAATTGGGTCTGAATGGCAAAATGGGGTTATGAGAGGGTACTGGATTGTGGTGTGGGGAGAGGGAAAGCAGGAAAGTGGAGGACATGGCCATGGGAGGGTGAAGATGGGAAACAAGTTCATAATAGCTGGGGGGTTAATTTGACCATAACAGATTATCTCAAATTGGCTGGTTTTACTAGGAGAGGTGACAAGTGTTTGCAATTACCTTAAAAAATAAATACTATATTCTACTACTCTTAAATCTTAATAGCTCTAACATGTTTAATAAATTGCCGAGTTCTCAATATGCCTATTAAAATACTTGTCTCCAAACCGAATAGGGATATCATATTATACTAGTATTTACCCCAGCATGTTGTGCATGTCGTTCAAGATATATATTTAGATTAATGATTTAACGATTATATGACGTTTCCAATAAAGCGATATATGTAGAAAATAATATTAATAATATAAATTGTAATTGTGGAATTTTTAGTATTATAATATATTTTGTTATTTTAAGTACATTTGGAATAATTTTCAATATTCGAAATCATCTAATGTAAATTATTGTCCATCTTTTTTGTTTTATTGATTTATGACTTTATATCTTTTAAAAGTATTCTTTTAATTTTTATAATGATCTCTTTAAATATTTCTACCCTGTATCATATTTTCTAAATTGTTCTTCTAACAGAAAATTTTCGCATTATTTCATAAACTTACTGTTAATTTTCATCATTCTATATACTTTTTGTAACATTTCCTTCGAATTTTATTTGCATATTTTTCCTATAATATAATGTTTCCTTCATTTTTTCTCATGATTTCCTACATCTTAATCCTACGACACTTTTTAATCACCATATAATTTTTTTTTACAGTTCTCTACTTAATTGTTACTTTTCTTTTAAAATTTTTACTGACAGCTTAATCCGCCTTAGATGAACCCATCCGCCATCAGGCCATATCTTAAAATCTTAGTGAATAATGTATAAAGTGGTGTTTCTAAATTTGATGATATCTCTTTAAAGTTTTATTTCTTGAAAGATTTGTATTAATTATTTCATTTTTCACTAATATCTTATTTTTTTCCCAAAAGGAATATTTGTAATAATTATTTCATTTTTCACTAATATCTTGGTTTGTTTTACAAAAAAAAATAATTAAAAAAATCTTAATTTAAGTTTTCAACCTGCTTTGATTTCGTAATCAAAATTGAATCCACACAATCTTAAATAATTTCAATTGAATGAAATCTCGCCTGTGGCATCCCATTAAGAAATCAATGATTATGTAATTTTGTTGAGTAAGGAAATAAGTAATTCATAAATGTGCAGCTTCTTTAGAAATGACCGACTATAAAAAGGTGAATTGACTCTTCTTTAATACACTATAAAAAGGTGTATTGATCAAATATACAGATTTTTGAAAGTTTTATACCCTAATTACCCTTCTTTAGTCAACATCTCGATCGAATTGTACTTCTTCCGAACTAGCTTTTCTTTCCCTTTCTCCCACATCTGTTTCGATTTCTTCTCTTTTTCTAGTATATCATGAACTCCACATTCTCTACATAGTAGTTACTTGGATTTGATAAAAAGTATCCAGAAGTTATCTTGGAGTTATAATTGTATCATTTTTTTGAGAATTTTCCTAAAATTTGGTGAATGTAATTATGTTTGACTACATGTGACGGAGATGACTATTAACGTTTTTATCACTTTAGATTATGATGCAGCCACCATCATAATAATCCGTTGATTAAAAGCAATTGAAACCGATTGTAAATATCAATTTCAGGTAATGTGGAGAATTGATTGGCGGTTCTAGCATAGAATCTTTTTCAACAAACTATGCATGTGCAAAGCCTCAACAATCATTAGTGTTAGGCTAGACTTGATTGTTAAAAACTTGAAAAGAGACCATGTGTCCCGGGCCTTTGAATTCGTTTAAGCTATTTTGTTTCTATGGTGCAATGTATTCTGTTTCTTCTTTGCGTTTTGGTTTTGACTTATGTAACAACATAGTAAAACAACTTTAAGTCTATATTTTCAATAAAGTTAGAAGCAACGTAAATTTTGTTGCAATTTTTCAAGAATATAATCCCATTTTTGTTCATTTCTTAAAATCAAAGAGTAGTAATAATAATGTGATGACGATAAAGCTGTTGGTTACTCTTCCAAATAAAAATATTGTTTATAAATTTGTGTAATTAAATACAAAAAAAAAATTAAATCAGATAAAATTGATTCTTTATATACATTTTATGGATTTGCTAAGCGGTTGGTTACTTTTCTAAATAAAAATATTGTTTATAAATTTTTGTGATTAATGACAAAAAAAAAAATTAAATCAAGTAAAATTGATTCTCTTTATACCTTATTGATTTACTAATGGTTATTGAAAAAAATCAAACTGGATAAAATTAACTATTTTATATAGATTTTACGGGTTTATAAATAAAAATTATCATTCATAAAAAATTACCAAATGGATCAATACGGTGTGGAGTATAAATTTTTGATTAGGAGGTATTAACATTTATAGACTGAATCTTTCTTATAGGGTACAAATTGTCGGTTGGGTATGCCAAAATTTTTTATTAGGCTTTTCTTATTTTATTATATATATTCCACAGTAACCTGTTGTTAATCACTTAGGGTTTAGTTGTCGATAATTTAAATTTTTTTCCTTTTGTTTTTTTAGTTAATTTACTCTTTATCTATAAATTTACAATTTTACATTAAAAAAATTATCATTAAATAATGAAGTAATGTGGTTGCGACATATGGACTTGGTTATTTAATTTTCTGCCACGTGGATTAGCCTATCTAAATTTGCGCCTTGTGTTCGATTGAAAACTCTCTTTTAATGTATACTAGATGCTTGCCCCGGGCGAATGCCCAGGGTGCTGTCTGTATTTTTAAATTGATTAAATAAAAAATACGAATCATTCTTAAAAGAATAAAAAAAATAGAAGAATAAAAAATCGATTGAAAGGACAGAAAGTGAGTTATTATACATAAATCTATGCACAGATTTATAACATTTAATTTACAATATTTAACTTATGCCCGGATTTACATAAATCATAAACCAATATCTACAACAGAAGAATAAAAAAAAAATCATCCTTAAAAAATCAAATTTCTTTCATGACAGCTTATTTTTTCTCTGTTGTAGAAATAGATGGATGATAATTAATGTTAAATTTTAAGTAATTGATTTAAAGGCCTGGGTGTGAGAGATGAGCGGAATGGAAGATATTCTTTGAAATTGGGGATTGGGAAGACATTATTGTGTTTCACTTGATTTAAGAGAATTTCCTTACATTTGATTTTATTAATTAAATATTATTGTTTTAAGAGATTAGTATATACCTATAACTAAGAGATTTTTATGTAGCTATAATTAAGAGATTTATGTATTTATCTATTCCATTTTTTTTGATTAGTTATAGTGCCACTTGTCAAAAATGATTTTATACTGAAAATGGCTTTTGGCGGGAAAATTTTTATTGTAGTATTGACACATGTCGGTTTCTATAATTTCAGTTTTCCAACTAATGCTTGAAGATTCATCCCCCTTAAAGATGATTCTCCAATTCCTATCACCTCAAATCCTTCTCCAAAATCCTTACTTAGATTGCTCTTCGTACGAGATCTAATTGGCCGAATTATGGTGGACATCGTCATCGAGGAAGCGAGTATGACGGATCTTGGCTGGCGTACATGCCGATTTTGTTTCGACAGTAGCAATTGAAAGTTGAGTTGTGAATTTACCCTAATCTGGCAGCAAAAAGCTCGGAACTTTTTGTGTAATTTGTCCTTTTGTTAGCTAGGTCCTGAGGATCATTTTTAGCCCAATTATGGGTTCGAATTGAATACCTTGTGGTTTATGCTTATTGCGTCTACTCTGCTACTTAGAATTTTTGGCACGCGGATGTCTCTTCTTCAGCTTCGGGTGACTGTACTGCTCGTATTTGGGATTGATGCTTATGGATTTGTATTAGTTTTTGAAAAATACGTACTACGTTATTTGTATCAGGATTTGGAAATACTTCAATGGATAACCTTCTCTATAAATACCAATGGCCACACAAATTCTAGGGAACAATCATAAAAAAGCACGCAGAGTTCTAGAGACCGCTTGAATCATCGTAATGGTTTCCGTTCAATTGTGCGAATCCCTAAGTTATCGGTAAGCTGTGTGAAGGAGATGTCCGTGGCAGGAAAGTGGATCAACGATGCCCTAATCCAAGGTGATTTTTTTGTTTTTTGTTTAAATTTCTTCTTTCTTATTTACTTGTGTGCGACAGAAATTAGTTCCCTCCCTCTAACAAATATTCATATGTTTAATATCAATCATATTCTGTTTGGATTTTCTTATTCTTTTTGTTTTTACTGCTTTTTTTTCCTTCTATTTAATATTTGTTGTGTAGTGTCCAAATTCTGGTGGCAACAGTCGATAACGTTAGGCAAAATTGGGTCCAAAGCATTAGAAAGGATTGATAGGTGACTTGCTTGAGAATTTTAAAGTTTCATCTTGCCTTAATTATGAGCCAATTTTTGTACCTTTTGAGTAATATAACATAAATTTCCAATCAAAGCCAAAATTTGGTGGATTGTCAAACCAACAAAAATAAAAGAACCTACTCCTAAAAAATTTAGTAGTATAGCAATGAGTAGGGTTGTCTCCTCAGGGAGCAAGGAAATGAAAATATTTCTAATTAAAAGTAAAGTAACCAAATGGACGAATTTTTGGATTATAACTAATGGATGACAAAAAATAACTGGCGAACAATAAAAGATAGGTTTGGAAAATCAATAATAAGAGAAACTCTAGTCACCATCTTGATGTATCCAACTGATCATTGTTGCAAAGAATAACTCAGCAAATGATGAATATATTAATTATCGTTATTGGAACCTCCTAACAACTCAGTCTTTTTATTTAACTACCAGTGACTAAAAAACCTTCATTAATCACTCTATAGCCTAAAAACACTACCTGAAACCTCCTAGGATTTAGTTTTTGACAAACAAAGACCCAACTCAATTTATAACAAACAAACCTTATTTTATTAAAAATTGAGTATTTATTCTCACAACTACTTACCAAGTAATTATTTGCATTGTCTCTTCTAAGGAACAAACAAACCTTGTTGTTCAATAAATTAGATTATCTAGGAGAATTGAATGCTACCAGC